CCCCCCCCCCCCCCCCCCCCCCCCAGTTCTGGGGTTTCATCAGAAACCCAGTGTAGATGCAGAGCAGACTGTTCCTGAACTGCTGTGGTCCATGAGCACTGTCAGTGCGGCTGGAGGTTCAACAGTCCAGTCGCTTCAACAAGAGTCCTTAAAAAAAAAAAAAAACTATACTGGAAGTGAATATTTGCTTAAATTAATCAGACAGAACTAAATATTTGGTAACAAAAATAAAATAATAATAATAACTTGATAGAAGACATCCTCCCAGAATCAGACCTGGCTCTGCGCCTTTTATTTTGGTGTCTGGTCCAGATACAAATAGATTCGCCTCACGTCACACCCCCATTCCGCCCACCCCCACCCCCCTCTGCGCATAAAACATTCATCAGAGCGCTGTAAGAAATGTCATTAGGCCTCAGAGTCACTCTTGAAAAATCTGGACAAATCCACCTCGTTCTAAAAATAACTCCCAAGTGCGAGGGTCGTGAGACGCAGCGTGGACCCCCCTCCCTTATAAATTTTAAAAGTTATGGGGGAAAAGAGTGATATTTTTGTTGTACCGTGGACACAGACCCATAAAAGATTCATCTTTGGATTCCCCCCCCCCCCCCCCCCCCTCCCCCCCCCAGCCTCCCCTCTATGCCCCGCCCTCAGTCTCCCCCTCGCCCGGGTAAGCGCACACTGATGCGCACCAGTGCGGCTCACGCCACACACGCACACACACACACACATCTCACACACACTTCCCTCCGCGTTGAACCCAACAGTGGAGCAAAGTGATCGGACTGGGTCCTGCACAGAAATACGATGGATTCTAATCTGGTGCGTCGCTGAGTCTCCACTTCATCCGGAACACTTGGGAGTTATTTCCTCCAGAGCTGCGTATGCGTGCGCGCTTTCCCTTTTTTCTTTTGTTTTTTCTTATGGGGGAGGTGTCGAGCCTACTGATCCCACGTTTGGATGTTTGCTGACTTGTTTTCCAGTCCTCATGACTGAGCCGGGGTTCATCCGGAGACGCGGCTCGCCGCTCGGGAAGAGCTGCGGCTGAAGTTTGAAGGGTGCGCACAGAGGCTGCTTGCCGTGGGTCCGTTTTCTCCCACCTCACGCGCTGGATTTGCAACCACTCATAAATTTCACCCAGCAGGGGATATCTTATCTTATCTGCGCGCGCGACGGAAGTCAAACCCCTTGGATTTATTGCGCTTCTCCTGGACTACACCCCCATCCAAACCACCATGAGGACCGTCGTTTTTGATGGTGAGTATTAGACATCGTGGAGCTTCTTATTTGTAAAGTTTCCACATTAGAACGGGCTTTCTTTGGGTTTTCCGCGCACTGACTAAATCCACCTCTGTGCGGTGCCACATCTCTGTGGATGGACAGAAAAACCAGGTGTCCTGACTGGAGTTGGTTTTCATAAAATACACAAATAGCCTAAGTAAATAAATAAATAATGTGCGCGCACACACCTGAATTGAAGGATCCAGATTTGGGAAGGGTTTGGAAGAGTAAAAACAAGATGCGTAAAAATCAGTTGCGGGGATAAACGACCTTGACTTGGTGGCTCTTAATTGAGTAGTAAATCAAAGCTTTTTTTTTTTATTGTGCACACATGAGGGAGACGCACTGTCTGAGAGTCCATTATGTTTATGATGATCAATATGCTCAGTATAATATGAACTTAACCCACACATGAAGGCTGCAGATGGTCCGCTTGGCGGCTCCGTAACGCCGCAGCTCCTTGGCTTATAACTGGTGTTTTTGTGGCATCGTCCCACTCAGTGACAGGAAACTGGGCCTGGTGGTTTTGGACTTCCTCTAATGAGAGCATGAATGTTCCCCCACGTTCCGCCAGCAATGGTTAAGGATTTAATTCCCTGGCAGGAGCTTGTTGTTGGCTGGTGTATGCATGCGCACACACATATAGGTGTGTGAGTGTGCATGTGGTGTGGTGGGGGCACCTGGCGTCTTCCTGCACCTGCATGTACCAGAGCTTCTATTGTGCAAAAAATAAAAATAAAAAAAAAGCTCCATGCAGTGCAGAGATAGAATAGAATGGAAAGTTGCTGTTTGACGAGCATCACTAGGAGATTATGTGAAATAGTCTGTGGCATCAGAAGCTTGAGAGAACAGCCCCACATGTATCAGACCATCAGACCCCACCCCTACACACACACACACACTTAAAGTGCTTATGCAACCTGCTGCACACACTCCATCTTCCTCACCATGTTCTGGCTAAAACAGAAGCACCATGGCACACACTGAAAACTGCTGCTGTTTGGATAAGTCAGTTTGTGGGTTGAAGCTGGGTCAAAGGTTGGGTTGGGTTGGTTCCACCACATGTTGGGTTAAAATGTGAGATGGGCCATGTCAGGATCCATCCGTCATTTAATCTGACTAGTTCCAACATGACTGGACCTCTGGTTTAAAATGTAACAAAGATAAGATGGAAAACAACAACTGTTGGAAAATGTTGACTCAGAATGGTTTTTTTATTTACCAGTTTGCAGTAGACAGTAAGTTTGGGCTCCTAAAATGACATTAGCTGATGCTACTTGGCGCTTATAGCCGTTAGCACTAGCAATCTAGCAGTGGTCGTAACTAATAATGCAGATTTTGGACTAAAGTCGTTAGTGTTTCTAATTAATCAACATTATTTTAACAGAGTTTTTGTGTAGAAAATAGAGCTGCACAATCTTAAAAAAACTATGTTCATGTGCTTTAATGTTGCAACGTCAATATCGGTTGCGAGAATCCCATATTTTTACTTGTTTCTCTTTATTTTATACAATTTCTTTTCATGTAAACCAGGGATGGGAATCGAGGATTATCTATTGGATTGACCAAATTTATTCTTAGCATATAGAACATGAACGCATGGTACTTAAACTGTAATGGCCTATGGTTTACTGCAGCGCAAGCAGTCCTTTAAATTATTTATGTTGCACTCACTGACATCGCCATGACAATAAATTTGTGATCTATTTTCCAGTCCTAGAAAAAAAACATCAGGACGCTCACCTGGTACTCTGGGTCAAACTGAACTAACCAACCATGACGAGGTCCAGGGTGGGCTCAGTCCAAATCTGACCCACACTACGCTTGGTTACAAAGTGGGATGTTTTTAACCCAGCCATTTGTGGTGTGTAACAAAGCCTCGTATTATTGTGTGCTCGCAGAATAACTCAGCATCTCGCAAAAATCAAAGCGGCACATCTGCTTGTGTATTCTCTTTGATATGTCACAGAGTGATGCAAATTCAAGTGCACATCCCATCACTGGCTAAGAATGGCTCTGGGTCCCTCAAACCCAACGGGCAACTTTTCATCATCCTGTTGTTGTGATTTAGCACCAGGCCACTGACAGACACCTATATGTCTGATTTCCTTTTTTATGTAATTGGTATCCATCTCTCTGGCTTCTGATTTGGCTGAGAAAATACGACCTGTCGTGTCTTGTGTTTAAAGTGTCAGGGTGAGGAGGGACTTTAATTTACACTCTTTTTCACCCAGTCAGCATATGATCAAATGCCTCTGTGGGAAAGCTGTTGCTCGGGGGTGTCGTTGCTCCCTGTCTGCTGTCACGCAAAGCCAATAAAGTGCAAATGAATGGTTAAAACCATTATGGTGGAACTGAAAGCTTTCTCTTGAAGAGGCTTAAACCACAACACAATGAGGACTTTATTTTTTTGTCGTCAAATTAGTGTTTTTTTTTTTTAATTTCTTTTCCAGAAGAAAAACAACAATGGTTTCAAAACTAGGCCAGGAGATGCAGCTTGATGAATTACTTTCCTCACATGACAGAGTGTTTTAGGCTGTAAAAGAAAAGACGACATGCAAAAAGAAGAAAAAAAAAAATAGATGGATGGCTGATTTGCATTAGAGATCAAACGCTGAGCCACAGTCTCACATTTGAGACAAGGCATTTCTAACCTTTTGGAAGAGAAATTGATCCGTCTTTGTGTTTGTATGGATGTTTACAAAAGCACAGGTGGAGGGCTTCAGAGATTATGTGTGTGTGTTCTGTTATTTTATAGGGAGGTGTGAAGAAATGGGAGGCAGTAAATGAAAATGAAGACAGATATATTTTCTTGTTAAGGTGCCTCTCCATCAGTGGGATGCTGCAACAACACAAAAGAAAATTGATTGCTGCTTTAGCATTTTGTGTGTGTGTGTGTTCTACTTGAGGTTGTTTTTGGTGACTGACCGTCATCAACACTGAGGCAGAAGGAAGCCTCACACGTTGGCAGGTTTGAGGTGTAAGCTTCAAGACAGGTGGAATTTTAACATCCCTGCAGCGCACAGTTCTGGACCATAATTTATGTCTTGGGAAGGACGGGGATCAAAGCAGCTGATCCTGCAAGATTTAGAGATTTTTAGCTTTTATTCCCAGTTGTTGTTTATTTTTAGCTTGAATATCCCAGTTTAATTTGGGCAGTTTTTCCAGTTTTTTAAAGTTCCAGTTTATATCAATGGGGCATGGTGGCACAGAGGCAATAGAAGGTGGACCAGTGATTGGAAGGTCGCCGGTTTGACTCTCCGGACCGACAGCATCAAAATGTTGGTGGAAATGATGAAACGCCCACACCTGCCTCCACCATCATTTGCTCCACCCTGGGCCTTTGAGCAAGGCCATTACCCCCAACATAATCTGCCCCCAAACAGGTCTCTCTTGAAAACGAGTCTTCATGACTCAATGAACCTGTACAGTAGTCCCTCGCTACTTCATGGTTCATTTTTCGCGGAGTCGCTCTATCGCGTTTTTTTTTAAAGCAAGCTTGGACATGACACACAATTGGCTGATTGATGGATGAGTCGCACGATCGGCATGGAATTTTTATTTAACATAAATTATTTAAAATTATTTAGCACCTGTGTGCAGCCCAAGCTGCAGGAGAAGCCTCTTACTGCAGCTGATCAGCTGATCTCTGCTCTGCAGTGGAAAAGTGGGTGTGACCAAGAGCTCGCAGGTGGCAGAGAGCAGCTGAGACAGAGAGCTGAAATCATGACATCCTGTGCTCTTTTAGAGCGTTTAGAGTTTAGAAACATTGTTTAGAATATTGCAAGAGTGTGGGAAGGGTTTATAACGCCTTAATATATACAGTATATATATATATATATATATATATACACACACTAAAATAAACTACTACTTACTACATGTACTACTATACTACTATAACTATTTCAGTTTTCCACTTATCGCAAGGCTCCAGGGTACAGATCCCCTGCGATAAACAAGGGACTACTGTATAAATAAGGATTAAATAAATATGGAGGATCTAAGAAAAGAAAAAAAAATATTTATTGGAATAACATGGACATAAAACAGGTTGATTTGATTGTTTTTAGAGTAGGTGCATTTGCAGAGTGCATGGATACTTTGCTTCAAAGTCAGCCCCATTGAACTAAATCAAACAACAATAAATTCAACTTTAACTGTTTTATCGGTTTAAAAAAAGTGTGACTGATGTGTGCTGTTGGTTGTAATTTACAGTTATGCCACAAGGTGTCTAAAAATCTCTGTAAAAGAAAGACAGTGCTTAAATTTTAAGCTTTGAGGAATAGTAACCCCCTAATATTGGTAAGAAAACACCCTTGTTAATTTAATGCCACCTTTTACTTAGTAAAAAAAAAAAAAAAAAAAAAACTCGTTAATGTGGGTCAGACGAAGATTATGGTTGGGCTTAAATTGCTTCATCTTGTTAATAGCTGCAACCAAAATCAAAACCGTACTAACAATATGAAGAGAAGGATTTGTTATATTGTGTTGTGCCACAAGATCATTTATATTATGAAAACAGCGTTTGCTCCAAAATGTGTAATATTCTGTCTTGGAATTTGCCATTTTTACACAAAACAATTTCTTTTCATCCATTTTAGAAAAAGATTTTTCCCATGTCTGTCTATTTATTTCGTTAGTTAGTTATTTAGCCAACTCACCTTCTCATAGACTAAACTTAACTTGTGTGAAAACAGCATGAAGTCGTTGAATCCAAAAGAGAAACATTATCTCCAAGATGCAATTCCTTATCTTTAGCCAGATATTTTTCCAGTGCAATGCAGCAAATATGGCAATAATGTTTTTTTTTTATTATCATTAATGCTTACCTCCAGACTGGGATGAGTATCGAAGCATGAATTTATTTCATATTTTTATCTGTCACTAAATACAATTTCAGCAATATCATTGTTGGATTTTATTTTATTTTATTTTTCTGCATTAATAAGTTGATTCCCAAACAGGTATTTGCC